AAAAAGGTTCGGAAAAACAACGCCTAGAGCGCGAAGGGCAAGGGCAGTGTGCGTCAATCTCCAATCTCTAAGCCAATGAAGAAGAAGACGGCACCGACCCCGAAGATGGTTTCGCAAGTACTTGCAGAGATGCAAGAATCCAACGAGGAATGTTCCGACCAGATGCTTCCACCTACATCTCTACCAATGCCCACGAGTAGCGAGGAGAGCGAAAATGCTTCCGTATCGCCCGAAAACCTATCCGATATGCCGCCACCGCCGCCGCCCGCTCACAATAGGCTCTCAAGATCACCCTTGAACGGCCCTCAACATGCCCAGCAGGTCACTTCAGCTATACCAGCGCACGTGCAAGGAAAGCCTTCGCCCGCAACGCCAGCGTCGCTCATGAAGCTACCGTCATCGAGTGCAAATGGAGGCGCTGTGTCGTCCAATGCGCAAACGATGGGCGCACCTGAGCAAATCGAGGACTTTAAGCTGCCGGAATCAGCAAACTTCCCCAAGAGCAGACTGACTCCTCTGGATACAAACCAAACTCCGGTACAATCACCACTGGAAGCCAGCTCGGCGAAAACGGCATCTTTCCAACCCCTACCGTCCCCTATTTTCCACAAGCCCTCGGGCACAGCTTCAGCAAACCAGAGCCCTCGCATCATCCCCGGCTCGACGGGCCCAGCTCCCAGGAGGACGCCAAATCTTGCACCGCGAGGAAGCAAAAAGAGGGCCAGCATCAGCTCCAGCCAAGTCTCGCCAGCATTGTTGCCTAGGATATCTCCGTCCATCAAGCCGCTTCTGCCGGGAACGCCCGGCGGCATGTCTGCTGAGGACACGGCGTCTCTTCTCCTGACATCCAAGTCTAATTACCAGAACATCCTTGAGGGCACAGTCGTGCCGGGCGTATCGTACCCGACATCGCTTTCGACGAATCTCACGTCAAAGAGGACGTCGCACAAGATCGCCGAGCAGGGCCGGAGAATCGCATCAACACGGCACTGCAAGAAATCGCGACAATGTTGCCCAAGTCTGCGCTGTTGGAGATCAGCAAGAGCGAGAGCGAGAGTGCTGACAAGAAGGACGGCAAAGGGGGTGCGACGCCGAACAGCAAGGCGAGCACGGTCGAGATGGCTATTGACTACATCAAGCAACTGAGCA